AAAATGCAAATCTGGGTCGTAAAAGTTATCAAGTAAAGCGTTATTGGCTGATTTGAAAACATTAAAGTGTTGCGTTTCGAAATCTTTTGTTTGTTTAGCCATAAGTAAAAAGAATTAACTTTGCTTCGATCGCTTTAACTTACGCAAAACTTATTTTCTTATTTTCTAAATTCGCGACAATAAATTTTATTAAATTTAATCGTTGCGTATTTACCTTGATTGCGAAGATTTTTAACTTCTTCCCAAAGTCAAAAATAAAAAAACTGTATTGTTTAAACAATACCCTACCCTTTATAAATGAAATTCAAATCTGCTTCAAAGAAATTCTTTAAAAATTTTGTCATTAACCTAAACTTTAACAAAAAAAAAATTATTTATTGCAAAAAATTTGTAACTTTCCGTAAAAATCTGATATCAGAATTCAGCGAATTAAGTAAAAGCAAGTTTCAACATTAATAAAATTGTCGACCTCCATTTTTTATCATTTTGACCTGTGTAATAATTTAATAAATTTTTTGTTGATCTGTGTTATTTCTAAAAGAAAACATGCAATTTTAAAATATATTTCTTGCCTTTCTAAAAATTATTTTAGTAAACACTTTAGTTTTTTTTTGTTATAACTTTAACAAAACAAAACAAAAAAATTAAATTAAAAAACTTTTGATCTTATACTAGAGTTTTGAGTTTTTTTTATTGAAAAACTCATTTTTTGAAATTTTCAAACAAGTTGCGCGTAATTATGTGAGTTACTTGGGCTTTTCAATAAAACTGTACTCAAAACTTTAGTATTAGACCAATACCCTTTTAACAATCAAAGTAGCCCGTAGTAAGGAGTACATTGATCGTTCGGAAGAGTTGCGTTAAAATGACGAAAAAAAACTTACAAGTAAATATATATATATATATATATATATATATATATATATATATATATATATATATATATATATATATATATATATATATATATATATATATATATATATATATGTATATATATATATATATATATATATATATATATATATATATATATATATATATATAAAATACGGAAAAAACTAAGGAGAAGATAGTTTTACATGTACATAAAACAAAGAATATTAAAAATTTAAATTAAAGAATATTAAGAATATTAAATCTCCAGTTTACGTTCATTGACACTACACCAAGCAATATTTGCATAATTTAAATGACAATGAATAAATAATAAGCATAATCGAGTTAGACTATGTCTTTTGTGTCAACATCAACTCTAAACCGAATACTAACTTGTCACCATAAGTCACCATAAATCACCTGATGTTAGCTTACCACCATAAGTTACCATGTATGACCTGAAAATAGCTTGTCACCAAAAGTCATCATAAGTCGCCTAATAGTAGCTTGTCACTATAAGTTATTTGATGGTAGCTCGTCACCATAATCTGAATATATTTTTTGTTACTTAAACTTTGTTCGTGTTGTTTTAAATTTTACACAAAAACTTTCTCCCAATTTTACCTAATTCTTAGTTATGGTGTTCCACATTTTCGCTGTAGGAATTGTAACTTTGAGTGGATTTTTGCTCTAAATGTAGATAAATTTTCTTTATTAATTTTATTTTTATAGTTTCAAAAGAAATCTTATCACATAAACTGCACTAAAATTTAACTTTTATAGAAAACTATATACTTATGCGAAATAATTAAAAAAAAAAAAATATCTGCTAATCTGAAAAGAATCTAGTACAAATGCTGATATTAGCCTCCCATACTGGTGAGTTTACAGTGGGCAATTGCATAAGTGAAAGTTACAGAACTGTCTTAGTGTAAATTTTGAAAGTGGCGTAAGTAAAAACATGCATAAGTACGAATCTCCGTAAGTATAAGCATAGATAGATAGATAAAACTTATTGGTACAAGATTAAAATTACATGTTCTAATAGGCATTCTGGTCCGAAAATGGGATATTGACCGTATGCTCCTTAATAAGTATAAAACAATGTACATTAAAAAATATATATAGTTTATAATATAAACATTATAGATTTTATTAATTCATCTGCGTTATCGAAGCGGTGTTTTTTGAAAGCGGAAAATTTTACTTTTTTTTTACACATACATATTTTTTCTAACTTTACAGCTTCTGATACCAGATTGTTTCAAATATTAACAACTCGTTGAGAAAAGCAATATTTGCGATTATCGAGTTGACACCGTTGCTTGCAAATCTTATAAATATGATGGCGGGTACATTTATTAAAGTTAACCTTAAAAGTTATTTTAAAAGAAAATAATATATACAAATATATATGTTGAATCACATCCAATTTATAACCAAAAGCAGAAAATTTTTGTCATTTTTATTACTATATTTTAATCATTTCTTTTTATTTTTTTTTATTTATCTTCAATTATTTTAAAACTTTTTTTTTTTTTTCTTTTTTTCTTTTTAACTTTGTTTCTTAACATTTTAAATTGTCTTTTTTTAAATACTTTTGCTTATATATTACGGATTATTGTGTATTACGGATATTTATTTGCGTTACTATTGGGGCTCGGTGATAAGGCTATTTTATGCCTTCTTCTTGCTCCAGCCAATTGTACTTTTTATATTGTTGTACTTTGTAAATATTTTTAACGGCGAAATAAACTAATAAACTAAAACTAAAAAAAAAAAAAAAAAAAAAAAAAAAAAAAAAAAAAAAAACCTCGAAAAACGAATTTTTATCTATACAAACTGTATGCATAATTTTAAAAATGAAACTAAACCATGTTTTATACGTCTGAGTTCATAAAAATCTAAATTAAGCATCTGTAAAAGTCAATAAACAACTAAGATTAGCAATTTTTTAGTCTCTTTAAAATATTTTCAATAGGCATTTATTAACATAGTTTGGTGTGCCAACCTGGAGAGATTGTTGATCTTATATAAGTGGTAAATGTACTTAGATATTAGGATTACGACTTTTAAAAACATTTTAAGATTAAAAATGTTCTAGTATTCATTGACTCTAGCTATGTGTTTTTTTTAATTTTGGCGTCCACAATTACTTTAAATTCTTTTGAGTTAGATGACCAATCTAATATATAGTTACCTAACTTGTTAAAACTGATACTCTGATGCATTAAAGCAAATGCTAACTTATGTGCAAAAACACTTCTTGCTGGCGATCGCTAAGTTTCTGACCAAAGAATAATTCTACGTTGAGCAACACTTAAATCGTGGCTATGATTCATATTATGATATGAGGTATATAACTTTAAGTCAGCAGCATAAAGCTTAATCATACATTCGAGGTTATACAATAAAGAGATCTGTCTGTGAAAAATTTAGAAATCCACTTTAAAATGTTGCCACGTAATGAAGTTTATACGAATATAATGAAAATAATATAATGAAACTTTAAATGATAATTTTGAATAAGATACGGAATCAAACGCGATTTGGAAATCAATCTATATATATATATAACATTTGTTATTAGATGATCGTTGATTGCGTACTTTAATCGTGAGTAGATTATAAAAGATTTGTGTATGTAGAATGTTAATTAAGGAAACCATGCTAACTAAGGGATAGTATGTTCTCTACGGGCATTTGTTTTGAAAGTTACGTTTTAAATGTCTTTAAAACGTTTTTTAAACGTCTTTTAAGCGTTGTTTACCTAAGAATGTTTAGAAGACGTTTAAAAGACATTTAAAATACATTTAGAACGTAACTTTTAAAAACAAATGCCCGCTGGGTTATAATGACTTAAACATCAACATTCCTAAGTATGAATCTTCGTTAGTGCAATTATGTATAAGTACAAATTTTCATAAGTTCAAACTTTCATAAGTACGAATCTTTGTAAGTGCAAACATGCATAAGTATGAATCTTCATAAGTGCAAACGGTAATAATTGCAACAAACGGTTTTACCTTTTTTATAATAAATTAATATTAAAAGTAAAATCTTTTTAACCAACCGTGCCGTTGTTAAACATGCCTTAATTAAAAAAGTTATCATTAGATAAAATAATTTACCTAGACGGAGATAGTGTTACAATTTATAATAAAATGGTGTGTTATCAAAAAGTCAGATCAGGAGACAAAAATTTTCCGAACAATATTTTTGGGGTTAAATATAACATTTTTAAAATTAGACATAAAATTATATGTTATAGAAATTTAAAAAATTATGTATTTTATATTTTCTTATACAATAAAATGTTTTTATAAAGAAATTTTTTTTGATTTCGGAACGTGTTACATCTTTTTTTCCGTTGGCCAAAAATTATCAAAAAGATATTTCAAAAATAATATACAGCACGCGAGCTGCGCACGCCCATTAATAAAATTCACCATTATCAATTTATATTGTATTAATATTTTATATCGCTTCCAGTTGTACAACTTCGATTCTTAGTTTCATCAATCTATAACAAAGACATTATTTTCAAGTCTGAACTTTTTACTGAACGCGTTTTTAGGAACATAAAAGGTCGCGAGTCACGCTCGTGCAAAAACTATATGAAAAAATAAAGAAAAAAAATAGAGAAAAAAATTAATTTTTTTTTTTTTTACTTGCTTTATGTTAGATCTTTAAATTATATTTTTAAGAAAATGTAGTAAAACATTTTGCTAGAGAAAAACTTTAATTTTTGCGAGCTTTGCTCGCCATCTTGTTTTTTGTAAATTTCCTTAAATCGTCTGGTTTAATTGAAGTTAATAACTGACAATAAAATATTTTCGATAACACACAACGATGCGACTGTACACGATTCAAGAGCTACGCAAAAGAATATTTATTATTCTTCAAATTTAACTGTTGACCAACACTTAAAATCTAAAGTAAAGAATTCTTTAAAGTGTTTTTTTTTTTAACCATTTTTTGTCTTATCAATTAGCTTATGAGACTTTCACTGACGTAGTTATAATGAAGGTTTAGTAAATTGTCTTTTTTAATCATCGTAATAAAACATCGGTTAGAGATCGCAACTAATTCGTCATTTCATCGAAATAAAACATCGGCCAGAGATCGCAACTAATTTTTAATAATTAATTTCATGAGACATGAGACAAGATCAATTTTTGCTAATACTAAGTGTTTAAAGAGCCAACTGCGACCAAAACAAAAGAGTAAAGTTAAATGCATTTAAACAATCAAAAGTTTTTCCGTTCTAATTAAACAGAGTAAGCTCGTTGGTGCAACATGTTCTAGGGTGCAACATGTTAGTGTGGACAACATGTTCAAGGGTGCAACATGTTAGTGTGGACAACATTTTTTACCGAAAGTTTTTTTTCAATTACTTTTATATTTTTTTTAAACACGTTTTTTTTTTGCAAAAAATATCAGTATTTTATTTTTATTTCGACACGTTTTAAAAATGTTATTGGGATTTCAAATACTTCTTATAAATAGTGCAGCAAAGTACATCATAATCATCATCTGGAAAATAGTTAAAATGTATTTAATAAGTAACAATATACAAACACATACTTTTGAAGATTTTCAATCGGAAAGAAATAATCCAGTTGACGAACAATATTTAGAATTACCGTATTTTAATCCATTAACGGAGTCGTTTGAAACCAGTTTTTTTGAAGAAAATTTCAATTTAGAACCTGGAAATAAAAACGATATCAAAAAAATAAAACGAGAACGTGATGTATCACCGCAAACCAAAAAATATCGTCAAATGAAACGCAACGAACGGGAAAGGGCAAGACAAAATCGAATAAATAATGCCTTTGATGTTTTAAGAAAAATGATTCCAAATCATCTTACTCCATGTAAAAGTGGACAAAAACTGACCCAAATAGAAACATTACGTCTCGCGAAATACTATATAGCAAGTCTAAAAGAGCTTCTAGACCATAAAGAATCAACCTAAAAGATCATGTTGACGAATCTTTATAAAACGAATCTTTAAACTTTAAAAACGTCAAAAAAACATCTAAAACTTTCAGATTACAAACAACTCACTAAGCTAATTAATAAAAAAGGAATCAGAATGAACTTTGTTTGTTTACAATAGATTTAGACTTTTTTATAATAAGTAACGGATTTTATAAATTTTTGTAAGCTAATTGAATTTGTAATTTATATTATAAATATTTTAAAATGTTTATGAAAAGTCTTTTTGTTATCATTTTTTAATTAACTTTTTTTGTGTCATTTTTCCATTAGTATACATTTAATTGCGAATCAAGTTATTTTCATAACGTAGAAGCTGTCAAAATAAACTTTATTAGCAATTTTCTTAAAACAATTTTTTTGCAATTAAAATTTTAAATAAGTTTTAGCTTTTTAAAAAGTAACGAATATAACAAAGGTTGTTGATGAATAATCTAAGTCTGTTTTTTGTTCATAGCCGTAAAAATGAATTGAAATACCGGCAGAATATCCGTAAGAAAATATTCTGGCAGAATGCCGGAATATTTTTTTTGTATAATTTTATAAATTTATAATTCAAATAAAAATCTGGCTACCCTTTTAGTAAAATGATTCAATCAAAAATTCTTTGTGGATTGAATTAAACACAAACTATTATGCAAAAACGTTTTTTTGATTTTCTTGGTTTTTAATTAGTTTAAAATTTCATTATGTTAAAAATAATTAAAAATAAAAAAAGAATAATCCAGAAGTTTGATTTTTATCATAAGATTTATCAAAAACACGTGTCATAAAAACCAAAATGAAACATTACTTCTTTTTAATTAGGAACTATAGGTTAGTATACCAACCTAGTTTTGTAAAAAAAAAAAAAAATTAATTTTAATTGGAAAAATCTTTGAAAAATCCTATTTCCGCTTAGTGAAGCGTAGTGTGGCATACCAAAAGACCTAAAATATATTTTAAAAAATTATAAAAAATATACATATGCAAGTGCATGTATGTTAAAATATATAAAATATATAACATACAAAATATATATTAATACATATGGTGTGTTTTTATATACAAAATATATTTTGGGTAATAAAGTTTAATTTAATTTATAAAATTGCATTTTAATATGTAGTCGAAAGAAGTAACCTAACAGTTCTACTAAATACGCCATTCTACTGAATACGCAATCTTAAAAAAAAGAAAAAGTTACAAAAGTTCCAAGTTATTTTGTAACTTATCTTGGAGGTAACAAATTACTTTGTATATTTTAGACTTCACGCTTCAAATGTTTATTTTTTTATATATCTATACCATCAATAATTTGTTATTTTGGAATGATTGCTTGTTACATTGTAAAATATATATGTACTTACATTGTATATGTATGTAAAAATAATAAATTGATAATATTTCCAAAAAATTTGCTATAAGAATTAGAGCTCTATATAAAGTTAGACATATGCTAAATAAACACCAATTAACACAGCTATACTATATATTATTCATTTATTCATTGCCATTTAAATGATGCAAATATAATATAGGATAGCGCTCACAAAACCAAACTTAAATCTCTCTATCGACATCAGAAACACGCAGCTCTCATAATTAATTTTACAAATCGTTTTCTAAGCTCAACACCGCTCAACACCGCTCAACACCGCTTCTAAAGAAATGAAAATTTTAAATATTTACGAAATGTTTTGAATATTTTATGTTTCATGTTTAAATGTAAAGAAAATATATCACCTAGTGTATTTATAAATATTTATATAAAACCTAAAAACAAATATGATTTTTTAAATATATTTATATAGTAATCAATACAACCTCCACATAGTTTAGAGTTGATGAAGGTAAGAACAACAGGCTTTTCTATGCTGACGATGGACATTGCTGCAGCCGAAACAGCATCTTAAATGTGTTTTTAAAAAAAGTGTACTGTGGGTGCATCAACTACATCCTAAGCTAATTTGTTCCATCGGTTAGTAACACGGTTTGTAAAGTAATGCTGATGTTCTGAATAACTTTTAATCAGTTGTGGTTTTAAACATCGGCTGTTTCTTCTCAGATTATATCGTGAATTTAAAATTTGTACTTGTGGTATGAAAAATTCAACTTCTTGTAACGGATGAGCGATTTTGTATTGCAGTATAAGATCACTGCGAATTCTGCGTTTTTCCAACGTGGTTAGACCTAATATTTGTAGTCTTTTTTTGTAATTAAAATATTTAATCAATGATATAGTCTTTGTTGCATGTTTTTGCACACGTTCAAGAAGGACGGTTTCCGGTTTAAGATGTGGAGACCATATATAGAGACGTATAGATTGTAAAATATTTTTCGAATCTGGAGGCTATGGCATCAAATGTCTTTTTGAGGCAACTAAGCATTCGGTTTCCGGCCGAAGCTGCTGCTTCTACTTGTGCTTTCATTTTGAGGTTGTCGGATATTAGTATCCCAAGGTCGCTCTCAATGCATGTTGGAGATTATGTCGGCTACCGTTGATGTTAGCCATGGTATAGATATGTGTTGATTTATTTTTGCGGCAAGCAACGTGTATTACATTGCACTTTTCGATGTTGAAGTGAATAAGCCAGTTATGTGACCAACTTAATGTCCGTTTAGAGAGTTTCATAGTCAGAGGTTATTGATTATTATTTATAATTCCTATGATCTTGCAGTCATCGGCGTATAACTTGGTATAATTGCTAATGCCATTTGGATAGTCATTGACAAAGAGCACAAATAGTAGTGGTCCGAGTACTAATTCTTGAGGGACTCCACTTGTCACTCTTTTCCAATCGGAAAACTCGTTTGTTCTCCAAACTACACGTTATTTTCTTTCACTTAGCCAAATAGAGATTTAGTGGAATAGCTGGCCTCTAATGCCATAGGCCTTAATCTTGTAAAGGAGTCTTTTGTGTGGCACTGTGTCAAAACAATACTTTGGCAAAGTCTGTAAAAATTATGTCAACAAGGTATCCACGGTAAACTGCCTCCGTAAGAATGTCACGGGATTCAATTAGGTTGTTAAGGCTTTGTAGAGACTTTGAAATTAGATTGTGTAGTGTACAGTGTTTCATAATCCTCTCTTTTATAATTCTCTCCATTACCTTTCACGGTACAGAGGTGAGAGATACCAGCCTATAATTACAAGCCTTGAGCTTATTTCCTTTTTTGGAAGATAGGAGTAACATTTGATTTACGCCAAATATCTAGGACATTTCCAGTTCAAAACGATTGCATGAAAATGAGTGAAAGAGATATTACAAAAGCTTTTCTGCAGTTTTTTAAAATATGGGAATGTACTCCGTCAAGTCCCATCTATTTAGTTTCGTCAAGGCAGAATTAGTAGTTTTATACTGTAGCAGCTGTAAACAAACTTTCGTCGATTTTGCAAGTTAATGTTGTTCTCTCTTCAAATATTGGTAAAGGTTGTGGGGGTTCTTCGACAAAAACTGAATGAAAATAATTGTTTATTGTTGAACTTATAAACTTAGAGTCTTTGATGATGTTACCATTGCTAGTTTCAAGCATACTAATGTGATTATGTATCTTAAGCTTGCTTTTTACGTGTTAATACAGACGTCAGAATCTTATTCTTCTCTTAAACGGAAAATAAAAGAAATGATCTTTTCAACACAAAATCTACTTTTAGTACTTTAGTTGTTTTGATTTACACTTTATTTTGTTTATTATGTAGATTGTGAAGAATATTAGAATATTGTACTTTTTGTTGTGATATATTTTTTAAAAGGCTTGGTAAGATCTTTTGATCTTCTAGAAATTCTGCCGGTAATATATTTAATATAAATTTACCTTGTACATATTCTTGCAAAGAAAAAAAAAAAAGCAGCCCATTTTGCTATTAATTTATCAAACGTCATGGGTAAAGGATTATGGTATAACTAAGGCGCGAACAAATAAAAACATAATTTTTAAGAAAATAAATAAAAACAAATAAGAACGAAAAAAAATACATAAAACAAAATTCATGGGTTGCAGGGATCATTACGTGTATCATAACTGGAACAATGATAGAAGAAATCCATACATATACATTATCAAAGACAGAGGCGATTTTACAGGGGGAGGGGGAAGACGGTGGAATCCCCGCCCCTCCCATCCAAATGGTGATTTTCAAGTTATAATCGGTTTTTCGACGAATTTAGTCGGCTACTCGGGTATTTGACACAGTTCAGTCGGATGAACTTTAGTTTTAAGAACCTTATTTTTATTTATTTTGTTTTAAGGAACCAGTCGGTACATTTTAAGAATTCACCCTCCTCATTTTTTATGTAGAAACTACCGAATAAACCTAAAACTACGCTATGAAGCTTAAAGACCAGGCTGACGACACATTTAAATAAACACTTGTTATAATGCAAAATGCAAGTTGTTGAAAATAATTAGATTATAAATATAAGTTCTTTTGTCGATAATATAATATATATGCAAATTTCAAATTATGTGAATATATTTTTTTGATTGGTTTTTGTAGTATAGTCGGCATTTAAAAAAAAAAAACCATTTGTCTTTAAATTATATTTCAAATATGTGAAATAAAAATAAAGCGTTTTACTCAAGATTTTTACTTCAGAAGATAAGGTCAATATCTAAAAAAAAATTGATTAAAAAATGTAATAGAAAAATTTTTGATTTAAAGAAAGAAGAACACAATATTGAAGATTTGAACGAATTTCATCTCGATATGGTTACAAATGCTATGCGAAAAAAAAATTGGGGATTTAAAATGGAACGATTATTTAGTCTTGCAATTTTAATTTTTGGAGAAAAAGACATTCTATTTTCTAACAATCGAGGTAAACACCATTGTCACTCAATATTTGAAGATGATTTAAATTTAAAAAAACACATTTAAGCTTTCATTATTGATAAAGTTTCTCAGAAAAATAGTCCATTTAGGATTAATATTATTCAAAAAGAAGTTGATGCATTTTTACAAGGGTAAAAATCAAAAGATTTTCTGACGGTGAAAATTAAACCAAAAAAAAAGAAAATATCGCAATATAGTGGAAACTATAAAGCAATTCAAAATTTACTATTTTTACCGTTAATACCGTTTGTTAATGGGCATAAAAGAGTCGACATTGTAGTTTACAGAAAAAACTTCGTCAATTATTTTGCCGACATCATAAAATCTATTGGATGTTTTTGAAAACAGTAA